TAGTGATGAAAACAAACAACAGTGAGATTCCTGTGAACAATGCAAGGGAAGGATGTAAAGGATGTGAGAGAAAAGTGGCATTCAAGTGTCACCGTGACGCTGGCTACTGGGAGCGCTGTGCCATTTGATGATGGATAAGGCCTGAGTTTGGTGAAGCCCACATGTACTTTCCTGTTTGGCAACCTGGTGAGAATAATTCTATATGACCTTCAGACTTGGTCATCACCCTGAACCAGTGTACTACTAACACTGGTGTTACAGAATTTGTGGAAGGACTAAATTCAACAATGCCAACAGAGCACTTTATGACGTGGTTAGGAAAGTAGCTGTGAGCAAAGTTTATTTCTCTGTTCATCTTGTCTTCCTGGGTTTCTCTTATTATAATTATATCCTTTGGGTTTTTTGAGACAGGATCTCCCTGTAGGGCCAGCTCTCCTAGAACTCACTATTTAGACCAGGCTGGCCCTGAGCTCACAGTGATCTGCCTGCCTCTGCCTCTTGAGTGTTGGGATTAAAGGCATGCATGAGCATGCCTGGCTATAATTACATTTTAAATACTTTATTTTTGTATATGAGCTTATTACCTACATGCAGATAGGCACGTTCATGCCCTGTAATGCCTGCAGAGATCAGAAGAATGTGGGACCCCTGGAACTGGGTTACGAATTTCTGTTAACTACTATGTGAATATTGGGAATCAATCTTCTGTCCTTTGAAAGGGCAGTCAGTGCTATTAACCACTGAGCCATCTCTCCAGCCCCATAATGTCATTTTTATTAATGTGACCCTTTTACAGTCTATTGGTACTACTAATAAATGCATGAATGGAGAACAGATCATGTGGGTGAGATGTGTACACATATGAATGTAAAATTAAATCTTACTGAAATCGGTTATGATAGAGTGGAGAGATCATAACAATTATACATTAGAGTTGCCACAACAGATAGACCTCACACAAGAGGACTCGTCCTGAGAAACATAGGAAGTATTTAGAGGACCCTCTTGTTCAGTTTATTTTCAGTTAAAATAAGGGAGGGGTCAGAGCAGTCAGGGAGACCAACACACATATGTTAATAAGCACAGTTAGGAACAGGAGAGTCTTCAAACTCAGAAACAAATGACGTATTGGTCAATAATGTAACATGTGCCTAATGAAGTCTGTTCTAGTGTGTCATAAGAAGAACTGAATTGACATTTCTTAGTTTTCATATTATTATTATTATTATTATTATTATTATATTGTTATCATATTATTGGTAGTTTTGAGACATGGTCTTACTGTAACCCTAGCTGACCTGGAATCACTTTGTATACTGGTCCAGCCTCGAACTCACAGATATCTGCTTGCCTCTGCCTCCCAAGGGCTGGGATTAAAGGCACCCGCCAACATGCCCAGTTTAAGATTTATGTTTCTTAAAGAAGGATATGAAAGCATATCTAAGCATAAATGTCTCATCTAGTTCAATGTTTCCCACAAAATGGTAAGTATGTCGATCCCAGACAAGGCACTGTTTAGTGAGGTCTCCTGCATGAGGGATCTGTGACTCTGCCACCATCTCAGTTTTGACTTACCATTTCCTTCTAATTTTAATTCAGTCACTACAAAATGTGCTGGTTATTTGATCCCAGTTGTTAATGGATCTGTGACTATCACGAGTCTTACTGCACATGTAATCACTTGCAGCAGAGAACAGCTAGTGCACGGCTTCCGTGGGAACCGTTAAGAAGACTTCCTTCAGTCTGTTGAAATCCAGGTTCTCAGGAGGAGCCAGGGAAGCTGTGTGGTGGCCGCTGAGGTTCCTGTCATGAATGTCCTGCTCCTCGCAAAGTTTTCACCCTAGAAATAATGAAAAGATTCTATTTCTCGGCATTTCAGAATGGAAAAAGCACTTCTAGGACCCAAATGTTGACGTATGTGTTGGATGGACACAGTTTAACAAACAAGCACTATTTTATTTTCATAATTGGAAAGGAGGAATTAAGGATCCCTGACTGGGTACTCTTCATTACGTAGGAGATCTCTGCGTTACTCTATCTACCTTTAACTTCCCAACTCCTTCCCTTCTTCACAATTCTCTTGTTTCCTCATTCCCAAAACTTACTCTTTGGAAAGAAAGCACAAAAAATATAAACTCTCAAAACTTAACAAAAAAGTAAGGCTTGGAAATAGAGAGCTAGCTCGTCAGAACACTGGCTGCTGGTCCAGAGGACCCAGGTCTGATTCCAGCACCACCGAGATGGCTAATTACCGTGTGTTCCCCACTTCAGGAGATGCAACGCCCTCTTCCGTCCTCTGCAGATTTTGCATGACACGGTGCACCTGTGTGCATGCAGGAAAAACGGTCATGCCCATAAAATAAAAATAAAGTTTAAAAAATGGGCACACTGGTGAGACTGCTACCAGTTAAGAGCACTTACTGCTCCTCCAGCGGACCTTGGTTCGATTCCCAGCACCCGCATGGCAGCTAACAACCATCCATAACTCCAGTTCCAGGGGATCTGACGACCTCTTCTGACCCCCACAAACATTGTTGGACACAGGTGCACTAACACACATCCATGCAACACACTCATACACATATAAATGAAAAATAAAGTAATAAACAAAAAGTAAATAATTTTTAAAAACTAAGTTTTTAAAGGGTCAACTTGCTGTAGGATTTTAGCCTAATGCCATAGAATACAAGGTGTGTGTCCTTATTTTTTCAATTTTTTGGTATATTCATAGAATATAGTTTGATGGTTTATATATCTCCTCTCAGAATACAAGGTGTGTGTCCTTATTTTTTCAATTTTTTGGTATAGTCATAGAATATAGTTTGATGGTTTATATATCTCCTCTCCTATCTGCACCTCTTCCTACTGCCCTCCTCCCCCCGCCACACACACACACACACACACACACACACACACACACACACACATAGACACTCACACACACACATAGACACTTACACACACATACACACACACTCTCACACTCACACGTTCACACTCACACACACTCACACACACATACATACTCACATACACACACACTCACACACATACACACACTCACAGTCACACACATATACATGTGTGTATATATGCATATTTGTGTCCCCAAATCTCTTTCTGTGTGAGTCCATCCAGTGGGCTCATCAAGAGTCCTACCCTGTAAAACATTGTGTGTCCTCCTCCCAGCAGGATCAATTGCCAAAAGTTCCTTCAGTTGGGTTGGGATTTCTTACCCACTTCCCCATTTCTATGCTGGAATTTTCTCTGGTTTGAACTTCAGAAGATTTGTGCATGTTCTCACCATTGCTGTGAGCTTCACATGAGCAAGTGACCAGTTAGCTGTCTGGAAGCCTTTTGAATCTCATTACTTGCTGCTACAAACTGATGAGATTTTAAATAGGCACTGGGAAATTGTACCATATCCTCAGCTATCACTGAGTCTTATGAAAGGACGAAACAAAGTTCCTAATAAAATTAGAATGCAATTGTGTTCATGACATCCAAACTAATCATGAAAGTATGGGCATACCTTAAGGAAAGTTTAATAATAAATGGATTAAAAGTTTCACAATATTTAACTTTTGTGCCTTATTCAATTCAACATTTTACTTACCAATTTTTTTTGCTTTATTTTTATTTTTTAATTGTATTTTTTTTCAAATTTCATACAATATATTTTGCTCATATTTAGATCCCCTTGTCTATGGGCATCTCTCTTTCTAAACACCCACCAAGTTTCTCTAGCCCCAAGGGGGTTGATGCTTTTTAATTGGAAGTTTTCAGTATGCTTTATAATTTGTGTACGTGTTGAAGTGTTCAAGTGACTTTGAACTGGTTAATGCTTGGCTGTGTAACTTCTTTTGATCTGGCATATTGTATAGTTTAGTGAAGCCAGTTGAGGATAATTGTTTACTGTCTCTTTAAAATGTGTTTTTGATATTTTTATTTATCAAGGGAGGGATCTTTTCCTCCTAAAGATGGTATATCCCAAGGTGGACACAGGGATCAGTTTCTTAAGAACCACAACACTTCCCTCCTGGAGACATTTGCCTATCAGTGAAAATTCAAATTATATCTGGTCATCAATAGCTTTCCAGAGTACCTCCTAAGCCAGTGTGATTTTCTAAAATATTTTATTATTTTTATTTTTTATGCGTACGAATGTATTGCTTGCACGTATATGAGTACACCCATGTCATGCAATGCCGAGGCAGTCAGAAGAGGGCTTCGGATTCCCCTGGTACTAGAGTTAAGGATGGTTAGTAGCAGCCATGAGGGTGCTGGGAATCCAACATGGGTCCTCTGCAAGAACAGTCAGTGCTCTTAACTGCGGAGCCATCTCTCCAGGCCCAGCCAGTGTGATCTTAACTCTTTTATCCCCTTCTAACAAAACTGAAGGAATGGAAATCCAGAGGAAGAAAGGGAAAGAAACACTTCCATGACAGGCCGTTGACCACCAGTGGTGAGAGGAATGTCTGAATAAGAAATACAGATACAACCTAAAGAAAATGTCGCCTTAGACACAGAATGACTAGCACGCTAGTGATGTGTCTGAGATAATGATAAGGTGCTTGGGATCTGAGAATGGATGAAAACAGTTCCTAGAAACATCTGGAGACATTTCAAGTTTCTATTATAAAATGTTTAGACTGTTTAACCTGTGCTGTTCAGAGACAGTGGGATAACAGAGCACTGCTCCTGCCCCCTCCCATGCTGCAGAGGTTGGTTCATAGAGAAAGTTTGGCTTTTGTAAATAATTCTAAGCTTCCCTCATCCTGGTAGCATGGATGCACTGGTTAACAACGACTGCCTTCTTTGATTTTAATCGCTTCACCACACTGACCATAGCACTGTAAAGTAGACTGTCAGCTGCATCATTCGCAAGCCGAGTTTCTGCTAATGGGATGAAATTTGAAAGGAACACGTAGGTGGCACTCGTAGATATTTTGTTAAGTGAACAAAAGAAACTTTGATAAATTTCAGTGTCAGACTTTGTCATTTTAAAAGTTAGCTTTTATTTTTTTTAAAGAAGAGACCCATTGTGCCCAAGCATGCATTGAAAGCAGTGCAGCGTAAAGATTTGCAGGAGTAGCTAGTTATGGACCATCTCAGAAGTACTCAGGATGGATATGGTCTTAGCAGTTGTTTTGATAGACAATTCGGCACTTAAGGATCTTGAGATAATTGTCAACCTTGTGGGAGTCCCTGCGCAGGCAGTGGAGCAGGTTGTAAAAGGCAAAGAGCCGGGATTCTTCATCAGCTGCCTGCAGGGATGGAAGTTGTGCCCACACAGAGTAGATCTCATTTTCATTGGCTCCTGGATGGACCTAATGGCAAGGAGAGTTCCAATTCATAGTGTTAGTATTTTTTACCCCATTTTCTTTTAATCATAGTATAACTCTTTGGGGAGAAGGGGGGTTGTAAACTCTCAGCCACTCCCATTGATTTTCAGGTATTTATTCAGAGTTAAACAAATCTTTCATCCATCTCAAAACTTGAACTTGAGCACACATGTTTTATTAAATGCAAGTGATCCCAGTGTGACAGATGGTGAACAGGGACCTGGTATCTTTCATCAAAGAAGGATGGAGGAGTGACTGCCTCTTACTTAAAGAGTTTCGGCATGTGTATTATCCCCAACATGAATTTGTAGATTATTGCTTCTGATACTGCACTATTTAGCATTTTCTAATTTTCAGTGAATCTCTTCCCCACATAATACATCTGTTTTAAACCTTACAAATGAGAACTGCATTTACTGTCCTATTATAAACTAATTACTGAGGTTAGGATTTAGGCTCGAAAAAAATCAATGAAATCAAAATGTTTACTGCATACATTGCTAGTTTAACAAGTTCTTTCTTTGTAATATGGTTTTTCCAGATTTGTGTTCTTCCTCCATTAAAGTGGCAACATGGCACGTGCTAACGTGTACACCGAATAGCAAAGGAGAAATGTGGAACCGTTGTTACGCCTGTGTTCCTACGTTTCTCCTTAGATGAAACTTCACTTCTGAGATTCTGAGAGAATTGCTTACTGTTATCTCACTAACTGAAATTATATGGAGATCCACAGTGAAAATTCGAATTCTTTTCAAGTATGACAAATTATTTGGGGACGTGCGATGCAATGACATGAGTTTTGAAGCAGGACACTCGAGTGAAACTACACTTAGCTTAAATTAATTTCGTACAGTACAAAATTAGGAAAATTACAGAGATGCGATGACCTCTGACGTCAGGCAACCGTGGGGCGGGACTGATGCTGCGTTCATTTCTTTTCAGTGTCCGAGGCATGAAGGCAGAAGTGGGCAGGAGGGCAGGAGGGATACTAGTCTCATTTTAATGGTCTTTTTTTTCTCTTTACACTTTAATTCTCCAGTACATGGAGAAAAGGGAAGGAGTCTAACCAAAGTGTAAATACATGTATCTTCTAATATCTTGAAAAAGGCTTTATCTTATAGATTCTATCATATGTTTCCCATTCTTTGGGAAAAAAATAACCTTCAGTGCCCAGGAAGGGACATGCATTTGGGGGGCTGGTAAAATTAGAAAGGCTTCACCTATCAAACACATCAATTGAGTACTAAGATCTGGGGATATTTGAATATAATGTTATGAGTGATTCTGTTTTGGTTTTGTTTAATATCAGTCTACAAGATAGAATGCCTAAATTCTATCTTGCAAAGAATGGTATTTCAAATTTTTCAGGGACCTCCTCACCTGGCCAATTATCTTCTGAATTCCCTCCAGGAGTTGTTTGATTTGTGCCTCAATTTCTTTGGCTCTTGACACCATACCATCAGGGGCTTCATGGATACCACCAACTTCAGTCACTAGTTGGTAAAGAGGGTCGTTCCAGGCATGCAACAAGCTGATTACCAGTTTCAGCAGGACTTCCGGCTAAACAACCAGGTTTTACAAATCATTAAAATCAATGAAATGCACCAGAGTTAGCGAGATGTGTCTTTTTCCCACAAAGACTGACCTACACTATTCACTGCCGCATCTATGTGCATATAAAATATTTTTTAGACACAGACATTATAAAAAGTTAAAATTTAACTACTGGCATATACTTTGCAAAAGTAAAGATGTGTCTTACTGAAATAAATACTTTTAGTTTTTCATTCCCTTTTTGTGCATGTACATGGTCATGTGTGTGAAAGTATATGTGTATGCAGGTACATGCACACATGTATGCACATACATATGGAGGGTTGGAGAAAAGCTTGGGTGTCATTTCTCATGTGAAGTGCCCTTTGATCTATAAAAAGGGTTTTCAGTTATTTCCTGAGACTTACTGAGATTTACTTTTGGAACATATATATGTGCTAAATTTTGGTATATAAATATAAATATATATAGAATGATATATAG